ATTTATTTTAGTTCAGTATCTCATTAGTCCTAACCAATATTAGTCCTTCTCAGAGGAAACCCACTGAGATTAATGGACATGACTAAGTTTGGCCCACTGATTTCGATGGATCCACTCTGCTTGTGGATATAGCTTAGGTGGATATAAACTGATATCTTAAAAGGCTGCCCAATAATGCTGATTTCTTGGTGGAGCCCATAAAACAGAAATGAAAATATATAACGGGTTGCATCGCCAACTTAAGATCTACTCAAAGTAGACCTGTTGAAATTAATAGGCCTAAGTTACCCATGTCCATTTCTTTCAACTGGTCTACTCATACTGCTGGATGCAGCCCAATAAATATGTATGCACAATATATATGTATATTTACAAAGCAATAGAAAACGTTTATTTAGTTAACCAATTTTATATCAATTTTTAATTCTTTTTTTTTTGTAAACCCACATACCTCCAACTGTTTTATGCCACAACAATGTAAAATATTAATAAGGATATACCAATAGAGTCAACATACTTTAATAACAAGTAGACACAAAAAAATTATGAAGATAAGGGTCGGCACATTTTTAAAACACATTTACGGACGTAATAAAATTACATGTCTAAACAGAAAGGTTTCCAGCAGGTGTTGAACACAATGCAGTGAAGGGGCCTGTGTAATATGAATGCAAAACGAATATTTACAATACAATGCCACTGTTTGCAGCATAAAAGGCTTTCCTAAAAGAAAGAAAGAAGGATGAAAACCAGATGATTCAAAAGTACTCATCTCACAAATGGACTAACGGCACTGGAACACAATGGAATTTTATTGAATTACTCCATTGATCCCATAAAAATAGAATAAACTATGTTTAAACTCTGCATGGAAGTAAAATATATTTAAAGCTAAATTATGCACTTGTTAAAATTGGTTTGTTTTTGTTTTTTAAAAAAAGAAGACTAGAATAGTAAAATGTTTCACAGGTTGGGAAAAGACCACAGGAAGGTGCCAGGGTGGCCTCTCTAGGGAGTGCATTTAACAGCCATTGTGCCACCGCTGAGAAGTCTCTTTTCTTTGGAGTGACTTGCTTCTGTTTTCGTTTGTTGGTGGGCCCTGTAGCAGGCTCAGGCACTGTCCACCATGTGCCGAGGCCCCTGACTGCTTCCTCCCAGTGGATTAGCAGACCTTTATAGAAAAAAAAGTTCTCCTCCTGCCACTATAAAAAGGTAAAGGGACCCCTGACCGTTAGGTCCAGTCGTGGCCGACTCTGGGGTTGCGGCGCTCATCTCGCTTTACTGGCCGAGGGAGCCAGCGTACAGCTTCCATTTACCTTCCTGCTGGAGCAGTACCTATTTATCTACTTGCACTTTGAGGTGCTTTCGAACTGCTAGGTTGGCAGGAGCTGGGACCGAGCAACGGGAGCTCACCCCGTCGCGGGGATTTGAAGTGCCAACCTTCTGATCGGCAAGTCCTAGGCTCTGTGGTTTAACCCACAGCACCACCCGCGTCCCTCCCTGCCACTATAGGTATTTACTAATAGTGAGACTTGCTCCCTCTATGGCAGGCATAGGCAAACTCGGCCCTCCAGATGTTTTGGGGCTACAACTTCCATCATCCCTGGCTAACAGGACCAGTGGTCAGGGATGATGGGAATTGTAGTCCCCAAGCATCTGGAGGGCTGAATTTGCCCATGCCTGCTCTATGGCCACATTAACACCACACATTGAAAGTGCTACTCTACCACTTTAAACAGGCCCAAAGAATTGTTAAAAGTGGTCAGGGGACAGTTCCCTTCAGAGAGCTACAATTCTTAAGAGTTCCCTGGAATATTGGGGCCTTCAGCTCTCAGCACCCTTAACTGTAATTCCTTAAGGGTGATGACACTTGTTCGGAGAGGCTCTCTGTTACCCTCACAGAGCTGCCATTGCCAGAGTGGTTTAACAGTCAGTCCCTCTTCATAGGCAACTGGGAATTGTAGCTCTGGGAGGTGAATGGGGGTCTCCTTCTCTCTTTAAATCTGAAGCCATCTTGGTCTGTAAGCAAGTCCTTTGCTTACCAGGTAGACTCCCCAAAAAGCACACAAGGAGGTGACTCTCTGTTCCTTCCCCTTGTCCCCAACTTGCAGGAAAAGAGAAAACCTCTGAGGGCAAGATGGCGGCCAGGCAGGAGCTCTCTGACATGGACTACCTGAGGTCTAAAGTGGTGAAGGGCGATGGGTCCTTGCCTTCGTCTGGGGAGGAGAGTGAGACTGAGGAGTTAGACAGCAGGGACTTCGATGGAGGAGAAGAGGAGGCAGAGGATGAGAAGCCCCACCAGAAGCAAGCCCCAGGCGCTGTCCTCGCAACGGGACCTGGGCTGGATGAAACGATCAAGGGACAGGGAAGTGTCGCGAAGGGGAAGAAGAAACTGAAAGATGCATCCCAGGTAGGCCCCCAACCCAACCCTGGATGGCATTCTACTTATAGTGTAGACCAGTGTTTCCCAAACTTGAGTCTCCAGCTGTATTTGGACTACAATGTCCATCATCCCTGACCACTGGTCTTGCTAGCGAGGGGTGATGGGAGTTGTAGTCCAAAAACACATGGAGACCCAAGTTTGGGAAACACTGGTCTAAGGGAAGGGAAGAGTTTTCAAGATGAGGGCCATATTCCGTTCTCAGCAACCTTCTGGAGGCCACATAGCAGCAGTGGTCGGGGCCAGAGTCTAAAGGGGGAGGCAGAGTAATAAATGTAAATTTTATCTTTTGCACAGTAGGCTAGTTTCTGTTTCTTTGCTTATTACATTTGTATCCCACTTTTCCTCCAAGGAACTCAAGGTGGCATACAAAGTTCTCTTCCTCTCCATTTTACCTTCACAACAACCCTGCGAGTCGGGTTAGGCTGAGAGGCAGCAACTGGCCCAAGGTCACCTAGTAAGCTGCATGGCTGAGTTGGGATTTGAACTGTGGCTTCCCAGGTCTTAGTCCACACTCACTGTTGATGTGCAAACCAGGCAGGTGTTAGGTATGTTGAATGCATTGTCTGACCTGATATTAGGCAGTTTGTGTTGTGTTCCAGCATTCCTTGCCTAGAGAGGTTATAAAGGAAGCACCAAGAAATACCGTATTTTTCGCTCTATAAGAAGTACTGTTCCCCTCCAAAAATTAAGGGGAAATGTGTGTGCGTCCTATAGAGCGAATGCAGGCTGCACGGCTAAGCCCGAAGCCAGAACAGGGAGACGGAGCACTGCGCAGCGCTCTGTCTCGCTGTTCTATCTTGGGGTTAGCTGCGCAAAGCCTCTGCAGGGCAGCGGGGTGAAGGCACCCCGCTCTGTGGAGGCTTCAAAGGCTGCGCTCCGGGGGCTTCAGGCAGGTATCCGCAAGCCTTCGGAGTGCAGCAGGAGTTCCCGCTGCGCTCCAAAGGCTTGCGGATAGCCGTCTGAAGCCTGGAGAGTGAGAGGAGTCGGTGCACACTGATCCTTCTTGCTCTCCAGGCTTCACTTCGCTGGAGAGGTGCTGCACAGTTTTCCCTCTCTGCGCAGCGCCCCTTCAGTGAAGCGGGAGGAGAAATGGAAGGGGCTCCGTTTCTCCTGCCGCTTCGCTGAAGGGCCCTGAGCAGAGAGGGGGAGAATTTTTCCCCCTCTTCTCCCCCTCCTATGGTCTGGTGCGTCCTATAGAGCGAAAAATACGGTACCTCTTTAGACTTTCGTTGACGACATGTGTCTTTCTTCGCACAGGCAAAAACTTTGGCCAGTGCAAATGAGCCCACCACTCCATACACGGTGAAGCTGCGAGGCGCCCCATTCAACGTCACAGAGGTAGGTGCCCTTTGCAGGAGCTTATCTAGGGCTCCAATTGCTCCATTCATTTAAAACGCTGTGATATCACTTTAAGCAGCCTTGACTTCTCCCAGAGAATCCTGGGAACTGTAGTTTGCTATATATGGCTTAGGCCTGGGCTATCCGAGGGAATGCATTATCCCATGCAAACCTGCCTGAGCTCTGAGATCTTTGGGGAAGGCCTTCCTACTATGCTTGGTGGGGTTGCAGGAGAAGGGCCTTCTTGGTTCAGATTTTGGAACTCTTCCCCTTAGAGAAGCCAGACCATTGTTTTAATTTTTGCAAGCTGCTTTGAGTCCCGGCCTGGGAAATAGGTGAGATATAAATAACGATGATGAAGTTGGGGGACCCCTACTCCTCTCCCAGAGCTACAGTTCCCCATGTGGCTGAACAGTCAATTATTCTTCACAAGAAACTCTGAGAATTGTAGTGTGGGGAATAGGGGCCGCCTAACAACTCCCCTGTGAACTGACTTGAACTTCTACTCTCCGCAGCAAAACGTCAAGGAGTTTCTTGTGCCTCTCCGGCCAGTGGCGATCAGGATTGCAAGGAACGCCCATGGGAATAAGACAGGTAACATTCATTTCATTTATTAAACTTACTACCGTATTTTTCGCTCTGTAAGACACACTTTTTCCCTCCTAAAAAGTAAGGGGAAATGTGTTCGTCTTAGGGAGTGAATGCAGGCTGCGCAGCTATCCCAGAAGCCAGAACAGCAAGAGGGAGCGAAGCCTCCTCAAAGCAGGGGGAGCCTTCATCCCGCTGCCCTGAGGAGGCTTCATGCAGCTATCCCAGAAGCCAGAACAGCGAGAGGGATTGCTGCGCAGTGCTCCCTCTCGCTGTTCTAGCTTCTGGCTTAGCCCCTCAGTCCCTTCCCCCACCTCCCGGAAAAGCCCCCAAGAGCCGCACTCCCTTTAAAGAGCCGCGTGGAGCTTGTGTGCGGCTCTTGGGGGCTTTCCCCCGAGGAAAGCGCCGTACACACGCTCCACGCGGCTTGTGAAAGGGAGCGCTGAGCAGAGCCTGGGATGCATACAGGCTCTGCTCAGTGCTCCCTTTAAAGAATTTTTTCTTTTCTTGCATTCCCCCTCTTAAAAATACGTGTGTCTTATGGAGCAAAAAATATGGTAGTTGCTTGTCACCTGAAGGTCTCCAAGCACCGTAACGAGTGGCCTATGATGTGGAGACTTTTTGCGGCAAAGGCTCATCGCTCAGTGGCAGAGCGTCTGCCTTGCATGCAGAGGGTCCCAGGTTCAATCTCTGGCATCTTCAGTTAGGACTGGGGAAGGACTCCCGTTTGCAACCCTGGAGAGCTGCTGCCAGTCAGTGTAGACAGTGCTGAGCTAAATGGACCAATAGCCTGACTCAGTATAAGGCAGCTTCCTGCCCTGCCCCAACGTAAAATCTGCTCTTTGTAAGACCTGAATGAAACGTCATAACGTTCTTCCCTGTGTGTTTCCATCCCTCTCCCAGGTTATGTGTTTGTTGATTTTAACAGTGAGGAAGAGGTGCAGAAAGCATTGAAACGAAATCACGAATACATGGGTATGTATCCACGAGGAGGTTTAATAGTCAATTTAGTTTCTGAATTTCTGGGTTTGCCAAAGATGCTTTTCTTTCCTGATACTCAGATACACGTCTAAAATTATAGTGTGTGAATGTCACAAACACATTACAAACTTGGGTACCATTTGGGTACAATATAATCAGAGCTTTGCAGATGACTTTGAACTTGGACCTAGGCTTCCCTCTTCCCTCTTCGCTCTCATTCTGTTTTCCTTTTGTGCTATGCGTTTTTATATTTATTTCTCCCCTCCGACTGTGCTTTGTTTTCACAGGTGGGCGGTACATCGAGGTGTTTCCCGAAGAGAGCGCTGGGAAGGCAAAACTCCCTTCAAAACACATGGCCCAGGTCTGGCAAAGGACCAAGAAGGATGACGAAGAGGAGGAAGACCTCTCCGAATCCGGGAGGCTCTTTGTGAGGAACCTTCCCTACTCCAGCACTGAAGAAGACTTGGAGGCAATATTTTCCAAATATGGTAGGCCTTTGGCAGTTTAACAATAAATTGCTCTTCGCAGGGAACTCTGGGGTTCTAGCTCTGTGAGGGAAATACAGTCATACCTCTTGTTATGTTCAGTTCAAGTTACGTCTTTTCAGGTTGCGTCCTGCGGCGACCTGGAAGTACCGGAAACGGTTACTTCCGGGTTTTGCCGCATGTGCAGACGCTCAAAATGACGTCATGCGCAGAAGCAGCGAATCACGACCCACACACGTGCAGACGCGGGTTGCGTTCTGCTCATGTTGTGAACAGGGCTCCAGAACGGATCCTGTTCACAACCAGAGGTACCACTGTAGCAGGAGTCTCCTAGCAACCCTCAGCACCCTTAGCAAACTACAGCCCCCAGAATTATTTGGGGAAAGCCACGGTTTTTTAAAAGTGATACCACAATCTATGGTGCGATTGTTGCCTCAGCGCCGCATTGTGTCTTTTTTGGCCGCTGCGTTCTGGAGCCACGAGGGTTTCTTTGTGGAAATGTGTGTTTGTTTCTCGTTCTCTCCAGGGCCCCTCTCTGAGATCCATTTCCCCATTGACAGTCTCACCAAGAAACCCAAAGGTTTTGCTTTCATCACCTACATGATCCCAGAACATGCCGTCAAAGCCTTTGCAGAAGTGGATGGGCAGGTTTTCCAGGTACGACTGCTTTGGGACGGGCTGTCGCTTTGTGAGGAAATCCACTGGGTTTGCGGGCAGCAGGCTCCCAAGTTCCATCCCAGGTTTCTCCATTTTTCTTTTTTAAGGATCAGGTTGCAAGGAATGGGAAAGACCCAGCCTGGAACCATCTCAGGCTCTCTGGTTGGAAGGGAAGCTCCTTTTGGTTTTGGTTCTGCCGCTGGGTGCTGACCCATGACGGGACCTTCTTGGTGGTGGCTCCCCCTTTATGAAACGCCTTCCCTGGTGAAGTGCTTCATTCAGTAGACGTCATTTAAGAACATTCCTGTTCACTGAAGACATTTTATGGCTTGGAAGACACTGCTGAAGTGGGGCCAGAGTTTGAGAAGGGTTTTTTCTTTTTCTTACTTAAAGTGGTCTATTTTCATCTGGCATGGAGTTCCAGAGTTGCTGTCTTTTCTCCTAGGGCCGGATGCTGCACGTTCTGCCCTCCACCATTAAGAAGGAAGAAGGGGAGGACTCAGATGCTGCTGGGGTGTCGTCTTACAAGAAGCAAAAGGCGTCCAAGGACAAAGCCAATAGTTCCAGGTTTGTTTGTGTGTTCGCTAAGCCCCAGCACTGCCTACTTATTGTTAATCGTACTAACTGTGTATTGATTTCATTTATGAATCACTTTCCACAAGGCACCCTGAAGCAATTTACAAATGAATCTCTATGAAACATACATATGGGTGCAGGTGGCGCTGTGGTCTAAACCACTGAGCCTCTTGAGCTTGCCGATCAGAAGGTTGGCGGTTCGAATCCCTGCGACGGAGTGAGCTCCCATTGCTCTGTCGCAGCTCCTGCCAACCTAGCAATTCGAAAGCACGCTGGTGCAAGTAGACAAATAGGTACCACTGCGGTGGGAAGGTAAACAGTGTTTCCGTGCGCTCTGGTTTCCGTCATGGTGTTCCGTTGCACCAGAAGCAGTTTAGTCATGCTGGCCACATGACCTGGAAAGCTGTCTGTGGACAAACGCCAGCTCCTTTGTCCTGAAAGCGAGATGTCCAGGGGTCCTGGACCTTTACCTAAACAATCAAAAGAATTGCATACATAAAAACAATTTTTTAAAAATCAATTAGAAATATGTGGCATAAGGACATAACACAAGCCTGCTGGATCAGGCCAATGGCCCATCTTAAGTCCAGCATCCTGTTCTCACAGTGGCCAACCAGATTCCCCAAAGGCAAGCAGGATCTGAGTGCAACAGCACTCTGCTCACCTGTGGTTCCCGGTAACTGCTATTCAGAGGCACAGTAGATTCAGACCATAGCCGTTAGGGCAGTTCATAAAAAAACTTCTTTTAAAAAAATGCCTGCTCCAAAGGTCTTATCTTACTACACTAGGGATTATATAGCTATATCTGAAATTTCATGCATATCGGTTAATATCTTGACCCTTCTCCACTGAATTGAAATTTCGGCCTTTACGACATAGGAAATGGTCAAGTAAACAGCTAGTTTTGTGGAGGAAGGTCAAGATATTAACTTATATGCATGAAATATTTATTTTATTATTTTATTTTTCTCTCTCCCCCCCCCGCCCCCCCGAATATAGCTCTCATAACTGGAACACCCTCTTCATGGGAGTGAATGCGGTCGCTGATGCTGTTGCGCAGAAGTACAATGCCACGAAGAGCCAAGTGTTTGATGACGTGAGCCTTCTTTAAATAATCATTTTTTATTGTTTTTTATTTATACTTCTCAAATTTATACATTTCATCAATGTTACAGTCCATTTAACATTTCAAAATTTGACTTCCTTCCCCCTCTTTTTGTGGTCCCTTAAATTTATTTTTTCATATCTTCTGTATATCCAAATTCATTTTAACTTGCTCATTTAATTAATTCTTGCTGCTGTAGTAGTATACATAAATAAATTTCTATACAGTTCTTTCCCCACAATTCTCAAAAGAAAACTTCTGTTTTTGTTTTTTTAAATAATGTTATTTTGAACATCCTTTTCAACTCATTATATAACGTTTTTAAAAATCTCTATCCCGTCTTTCAGCTATGTTAATGGCAATATCCATATCTATTTACGTATCTAAAATTCTCTCTTGCCTGAAGAACAAGGGCAACATGGTGCCTATGTAGAATCACAGAATTGTAGACTTGGAAGGGACCCTAAGGGTCATTTAGTGCAATGCCCTTTGGAACTCCCTGCCTATTGACATCAGGCTGGCGCCATCACTGTGTACTCATTTGGGCACCTGCTGATGCATATTTAGTTTATTTCTGGTTTTAATTCTTTTGGATGTTGCAGTTGTTTTTGTCTGTTTGCAGATTGCTTTGAGCTTGTTGTTTTTTTAAAAAAAATCGGGTGGTGTATATAAATTTTATGAAATAAATAAATGATATTATTGTCTCTTGGCAGGAAGGCAAGGGGAGCGTGGCTGTGAGAGTGGCTCTGGGGGAAACAGAGCTTGTTCAGAAGGTCCGACAGTTCCTGCTGGACAACGGCGTCAGCCTGGATGCCTTCAGCCAGGTAAACACCATGTGCCCCCGGGAGAGGAACATGCAAGTGTTCCTTCTACTGAGTTCAGATCATTGGTCCATCTAGCTCAATATTGTGTACACTGACTGGCAGCAGCGGTCCAGGGTTTCAAGCAGGGAGTTCCCCCCACTTAGAATTGCCCCTCTACTGGGATTTACTTCCCTGTAAATGTGAATAGGCTTTGCAATCTTAAATCACTGGCTTGTTATTAACCACACTGGCTGGCAGCAGCTCTCCAGGATTCTCAGCCACTGAGCTATGGCTTCTCCCCTTCGAGACATAGGAGCACAAGAAACTGTTTTATACTGTCATACCATTGTCCCTAGACAGCATCTTAAAAAGCAGAGACATCACCTTGCCAACAAAGGTCCGTATAGTTAAAGCTATGGTTTTCCCAGTAGTGATGTATGGAAGTGAGAGCTGGACCATAAAGAAGGCTGGTCGCCGAAGAATTGATGCTTTTGAATTATGGTGCTGGAGGAGACTCTTGAGAGTCCCATGGACTGCAAGAAGATCAAACCTATCCATTCTGAAGGAAATCAGCCCTGAGTGCTCACTGGAAGGACAGATCATGAAGCTGAGGCTCCAATACTTTGGCCACCTCATGAGAAGAGAAGACTCTCTGGAAAAGACCCTGATGTTGGGAAAGATGGAGGGCACAAGGAGAAGGGGACGACAGAGGATGAGATGGTTGGACAGTGTTCTCGAAGCTACCAGCATGAGTTTGACCAAGCTGCGGGAGGCAGTGGAAGACAGGAGTGCCTGGCGTGCTCTGGTCCACGGGGTCACGAAGAGTTGGACACGACTAAACGACTAAACAACAACAACCATTGGCCCATCTAGCTCAGTATTGTCAGCACTGAATTGCAGCAGCTCTCTTGGGTTTCAGGCACGGACATCCCCCACCCCACCCCAGCCCAGCCCTACCTGGAGATGTTGGGGGTTGACCTGGGACGTTACGTATGCAAAGCAGGCATCCTTAACCACTGAGCCTACAGCCCTTCCTCTGTAAAAGGCAGAGGAAGCTGCTTTATACAGAGGAAGACCACCGGTCAATTTAGGCTA